GATGTGGGTGAAGTGTCAGTCAAGACATACGAGTAAACACGCTGTCAAGCAACCTGTACGCTCGGACAAACTGTCGGGATTTGGAACGGGCATATAAAGGGCTGGACACCTTTTGTAATGACTGACGGTTGACAAACCGCGACGGTCATAGGCCACGAGGGCCTGTTTCACCCACGCGAACCCCCGCCGGGCATCTGCGAAGGAGCCGGCCGCTGTGCTGCCTCATCAAGGGCACCGGCATAACACCCGTCAGCTTCCAATGGGGCGTAAATAAGGCGCTCAGCGGTCCAAGCTGGTCCGCGTCAGGTGGGGGACCCGGGTCAATGTCGTGGCGAGCACTGCCGGGGCTGCGCCCTTCGCTGCGACGCCTCCAGGTCACTTGCTGCAGGAGGGCAGGTGTCCTGAGAACGTTCCAGGCGACGCAGCAGGCGCCCTGGCATCGACATCTTGGCGGCAGCTGACCCTGACCTTTCAGCATCTGGGGCGGGGCTTGTGGCCCGACACTGTCGGCCCGTCATCTTGGCGGGGCCGCTTGGCTGGGAGACGGGCCGCCCGCCGATCATGGTGAGCGATCGACGCTCCCAAAGAGTATGAGGCGTTTGCTCTTACTGTGCAAAGGCGACCTTCACCGCCGAGAGTGGCGATAGTGCCAACTGACCACCGGCTGACGTGAAAATCTCCACACGTTTTAAAGTCTATGGACGGTGGCGAACTGAGCGATACAGCGGCTATCTCTGTGCTGCGATACTCTGAGGTTAGGTCAGGGCAGGCGCAGCCATGGCTGTGTGCCATTTGCAGGTTCTCGTTGAGGTCAACGTCAAGCGGAGCATGTCACTGGGCACTTAGAATTCTCGATTCTACGAGGGCAAATGCGCTGCCGGCTGCTTGCGCTTGTGCCTGGACATGTCTGATCTTAGTATTGCTGGATTGACGTGTTAAATGCTGAGCCTTGGCACGGCCCCTGCCTGTAGCTCTATCGCCGTTGCTGTCCTGACCATATTGAGTCCGCTGTCACGCATTCCCTCTTGGCTGTTTTTCATCTGATGAGCATGTACAGTGGCCCAGGCGCAGGCTGGCAGCATGATCACACTCGATTCGCTGCCCGGCCTTTTAGCTCCCGTGGCAGAGAAGGTTCAAAGATGGTCTCCAAAGAAATGCGAGTGGATGGATGTCTTCTTGCTGGCCCAGGTCGACCTCTGGTGGAAGAGGGCAACGTCCGGAGGAGAGTGCCCCACAGAGAGGAAGGCGTGGCATGGGGCCAAACACATCGGTCTGGTCCGTGGAGAAACAAAGGTGCAGCACACCACTGGCGACTGCGTGTGGGTTGTGAAGCATAAGGAAGCATGGCAAAAGTTCAGAGCGGGCTCCCCTGAGAAGACGGCCGAATGGGTGCGTATTCTTGGGCTGCGAGTGCAGCCGTGGTCTAACATGATACAAACGCTGCAGCTGGGGCAAGAGGAAGCAGGAAAGGGGCAGGAGGGAGATGCAGGAACGGAAATTTTCAGTTCAGCGAATCTGCGGATGGCGAAGCTTGCCGTGCATAGGGCTGGGGCGGCTGTCTGTGTCCTTCGGACAACTGCGTTGTTCAGCAAGGAGGTGGGAGGAGCTGTGCCATTTGTGGGCGCCGCCCTGCAGCTGCTGGGATTTGTGCTCGAGGTGGCTTCCAGAGAGAGGGAAGAGGTGGGGGGCGTTGCATCTGCGCACTCTCGGCTGTTGGAGGTTGGCAGGCGCATAATGCAGGGTTTGTGGGACGCTTGTCAACAAGATGACGAGGGCTACATGGCTGTGCTCGAGGACTTGATGCAGTTCATAGAGAAGGCTGCAAGGGCACTGGAGCAGTTTCAGAGCAAAGGGAACATCTGCAGGTTGAATGATGCTCTTTGGCACACGAACTCAGGGCCGCAGTCAGTGCTGCAAGTCGTTGACGAATGTGATCGACGCCTGAACAGCACTCAAACAGACTGCACGCATAGGACGGTCAAGTTAGTGGAAGGAAAGGTCGATCGCCTTCTGCAGCGTACCAGGTCGACATCGGGTCGTTTAGCCATCGTTCCCAATCGCCCTGATGCAGTGGCTTTGGACGAAAAGGTGGCTGCCATAAGGGACAAACTGCTCCAGGGTGGCAGGAAACATGTGGTGTTGCAGGGAATGGGTGGAAGTGGCAAAACTACTTTGGCGGAGGCAACAGTCAACGACCACCACGTTCACTCCAAGTTTGGGTCCAAGATACTGTTCATGACGGTTGGCCGAGATCCAAAGATTGAAGACTACCTGAAGAGCATACAGGAGGCCTTTGTCGATGACAAAAAAAAGGTGATCTACCTCAATGAAGAAGATTTCAGCAGGAAGCTGAAAGCTCTCTTGAAGGACGAGTCTGTGCTTCTTGTCCTGGATGACGTCTGGAAAGAGGACGTTTTGAAGTGGCTTGATGTGGTTTCAGAGAGCAGCCGGGTACTCATCACAACAAGGCTAGCTGAAATTGGCAGAGCTGTCGATGCCCATGGGTATGATGTGAAACCTCTGGGCTATGAAGATGCCCACAAGTTGTTTTGCAAGTGTGCTTTTGATGGTGGTGACCCATCAAGATGGCAGAGACAGCACGTGGCAACCATCATCCATGAGTGTGGTGGTCTTCCTCTTGCATTGGAAGTCGTTGGCAAAGTAGTCAAGAGCTACAAGGAAGGAGAGCGCCACAGGTCGACTGCCCTGGAAAAGAAGCGATGGAAAAGAACAGTTGAGGAGTTGACTAGGCAAGGCATTGCTCATTCTGAAGTTTTTGAGAAAGTGATTGACCGGGTGTTCGGGTTGAGCTTCAGCAACCTTGACGAGCAGCAGCAGTCAACCTTGCTGGACTTGGCCATGCTGCCCGAAGATCATTATGTGAGCGAGTCTGATGCGGTGGAGTGGCAAGTGCTCTCTGGCTTGTGTGAGGATGAGTGCAACGCACAAACAACTCTGAGGACGCTGGCAAGCAAGTCGCTGATCACACAGACAGGGACGGACCTCATGGACATGGCTGAGTTTCAATCTGTTGATGCTGTGCATTACCACGTGCATGATGCGATCCGAGACTGTGCCTTGAAGGTGATGGAAGAGAAGCTGCTGTCAGGGCAACACAGACTGGTGTCCTCGCACTTGATTGGCAGTGCTTGCATGCGCGTGGCATTCTATTGCACCAAATTTTCTGCCAGCCAGAGCCTGAGCAATGAGCAGGCTGTGCGTCTTAAGGCTCTGGACATGCCAATGTTGCAGATCTTGCTCTTGAGATTTGCCAGAATAGCCGAGTTGCCTGCCTCCATACTGGTCCCCCGGCTGGTTGTGCTGGACCTGTCATCTTCTGGTGTGACAAAGCTACCGCCGCAGATTGCGTGCCTCCAATCTGCCAAGTTGCTTCGAGTGGATGGTTGCGACATGCTGGAAAGTCTTCCAGAGGAAGTGGGTGCAATGAGCCAACTGGAGGTGTTGTCTATGAGGGGATGCCGGAGTGTCTACAACCTTCCAAACTCCCTTTGGGAACTGTCAAATCTGACAAAACTTCTACTGCCGAATACCGGAATTCTGCAGTTTTGTCCGGGTGAAGCGCAGGTTTCACATAAGTTGTCAGTACTGGACTTGAGCAGCAATGGTGGATTGGAGCAGCTACCTCCCAGTTTTGGGGAGTTGACCAGTCTGACAGCTCTGAACTTGGGAGATTGTTGGCGGTTGACTCATTTGCCAGCATCCCTTGGCTGCCTGGAGCAATTGAAGGTGTTGATTGTGCACGGATGCGACAGACTTGCCGAAATCCCAGATTCAGTGACGTTGCTGAGCAACCTAGAGGCACTGGATGCCCAGATGTGCCCCAACCTGTCCTGCCTGCCCAGTGGCATTGCCGATGGCTGCCCAGAGCTGACAGTTCTGCGACTGCAACAGACGAATCTGGACTTTCCTGCATTTGCTCAGTTGCTGGATTGTCTGGAGGTTTTGGGACTTCCTGCAGGCTGTGAGATCCCTGCTGAGCTTGCTGCACAGTACTGTGCCAATGAGGTGGAGGTGGCGTGGAAGCCAACAAGGGAATGCGAGAAAAGGCGGAATATGGTGAGTCACAGGCCAGGTTGAATAGACAAGAAATTACCACATTGGATGGAGCACTGGCTGCAAACACATTGACCTTGACTGCCTCACCTTGGATACTCTGCAGTTTTGTGGGAATTCGCTTGCAGCATGCAATAGGAATGCTGGCCTGTAGGATCGCACGCCTGTCCAGGGTGTAGCACAAATGAGTGCCCTGTACAGCTGAAACAACACGCACAATCAAGGGGCACTGGAGGTTGATGATCGCATTTGTGCACGAGAATGATGTTCGTTTCCTTATCCTGTTTGTTGCATTGAAATGCGTATGGCACCTGCATTGAAGCAGTCCAGGGTAGCACAATGAAGCGAGACTTGGGCAACATCATCGCACCGGCGTGCAACAGTTTTGAGTGCAAGGATGTCTGCTATGGCATTTTTTCAACATGATTGAAGTGTGCTCAAAGCATGATGACATGGGAATACTATTCACATTGTATCCTGCTAGCTGCCATAATGGAAATCGCCTTGGACGGCAAGGAAGTGGCCTGCGAGACATGTGGATGGGCCACATTTCGAAGCAGGTGCCCGAGTCTACACAGATTAGACCCCACGGAAAGGGGCAGACTCCATAGGTGGCAACTATTAGGGCGATGGCTGCAGAATGGAGAAATGCGCTAGAACTCTGTACCTTTGCCATTGCCCCATGTTGGCATCGCTTGCCTACCCACTCAAGAACATGTTCTTATGCCTCACATTTCATTTCTGTCTAGTATTTTTTACTTTTAGTGGATCGGGTGTGATAAAGTTGTTCCTATGACTAAACAATTGTTTTGCACAGTATTCCTGGTGCAGAACTATTACTAGATGAAATCAATGCATTCCATTCACAGTGGATGTGGTTTTACAGCTATCTATTTCCTGCAGTTATCCAACGGCTGTGCATCAACAAATGATGCCATATCTGTGGAGTTTCAAAGAAGGCCCAAATGCCGTTAATGGCCTGCACCTTGCAGTTGGACGCCCTTGCTGAATCTGTCATTTGTGTCATGGCAAAGGTTTTGGACACACCCCTGCATTGGGCAGCTGGGCATGGCCTTATGGATATGGTGAGATTCAGCCTGAGGGAAATGGAGGTGGACACACATGATCAGGTACAGCCCTGCCTCTTAATCATTTGCAAAGTGTCGATGGTCATTATTATTGGATGGTCCTATACCTCTGGATTCGGACACCTTTTCCCATCCAAATGGTCAAGCATTCAATGGTATGGACACGTTGGCTGTGATTGGTCACCTGCCTGCTGGTCTTTCCGTCTAGTTGTGACCAACCTACCATTTACCCCCTTAATTACACCGCATTTCAGTGTCCAGGTGCCACCCCCAACACAAGATATGAACCTTGTGGCACCTATCAAGAGAGTGCAAGGCGATGTAAAGCCCCCCAAGGTGTTCGCATCTGGATGATTGCTCAGCGTCAAGGAAGAGAAGTTTAGCACTGCGGCTGGCGGTGGCAGATCAGAGATTTGAAACAAATCGCATTTGTCTGTTTATTTCTTCATAGAACAAAAAAACAGACCAATATGATTTGCTGCGATTTTGTTAGACTTCTCACTAGACAAATGAGCCAAATCGAGACAATGTTAGTGAAGATCGTACATCACGCACCCCTGGCATATCCCAAGCAACCCGCACAGAGTCCAGCTCACAAAACTCGCATCCTCATAATGCGCACTGAAATCTCAAACAAATCGCACAGTGCCTCAGCAGTCGAGTGCATAGATGCATGCTCCATATCAAGTAGCCCCCACCTCAACCAGATGTGCCAACATCTGTGCTCATCAGTTCAGAGATGCAGACATGAGTGCCACTCGCAAAATTAGCTCCAAAGCCGTTTTCCGGGACCAACAAGAAGGTCCATGAACAACTGTGGGACCCAGAGGTGTGAATCGCGACTTTGGAGGCCAATTTTGGTGAGAGAGGCAGAACCGTTGGCAGCGGGAAGATGGTGGTGTCTGTTGTCAAGGAGATGGTGGCACCACACACAGGGTGGTTTCTTATGTGAAAGTGGTGAAGGCGTTGTTGATGGGATAGTTGCTTATAAGGAACTGAGCCACGAAAGCAACGTCCTAGTGAGAGACACTTGGTCCAATCCAAAGACCAAAGAATCGATACGAAACAAAGCCCTGCCCATTGGTGAATTGGCCCACTGCATTGCAAATTGTGCAACACAATGTTATCAAAATCTTTACCATTTGTGATGGAAATGAACGAGGCGTTGGGGTTGCTGGCCTTTGCTGCTGTTTAATGTTGCATCTGACCTTGTGCTGAAATGCAATGCGGGTCCTGGACATGCACACTTCAGTACATTGCTTTTCATTGTTTGAGTAAACAGCGATTTAATTACTAAGATCATTTTGGCAACTGGTTCCTTGTGTGATGTCGCCAAAGCTGCATACACAAGGCAGTAGAACAGTTGAACCAGGTGAAATGTGTACTTTACCTGGTCTTGTAAGCAGCACAGGGAAGACATAAATTGAGGCTGCATGATTTGTTATCAATTCTACGCTGCTTCCAATGGTCTTGATATTCCACAGCATGAGGTAATGCTGAAGTTTTCTTGGCTGCAAGCTGGATGAGGTGTTATCGCCAAAGATGAACATTTCATTTCATAGCACATAGGGCGAACCAGCTCTGCAGATACAACACATCAGCTGGTTCTTGAATGCAAGTGTGTTTCAGGAGTTGGGATAGGTTGGTGCTGATGCCATTCCTTTAATAACCCATTTGTGGCTGGCAGTGACACTGATGCAAAGCATAAAAAAATGTGCCCACCATTGTGCATAAGTGTTTACGGAAATTGTGTTTCCTTCCTTAAATATTGAGGACTGCAATGTTAGTCCCCACAGCCATCACACTATTCAGCCAGAAGCAGCATCATATTCGACAAACAGTGCAACAACCATTCGCTTGGTTATGAATACTGTCAGAGACACACGCAAGCCAGTGCAGCTGTGTGGCAAT